GGGATCCTCCCCTCCCTCAGGCCCAGTCTGGGGCTACAGTATCTTCCTGGGAGGAACTGGTGTGAAGTTGTTGAGCTCCCCCTAAGTTTGGCCTCATGTGCCTTGGACAGAGCTTCCACCTTACGAGGAGGGGATGGATAGAGAACTCCAGTCATCTCTGCCAGGAACTGAGCTTCTGCAACAGGGAGCTGGGCAAGGGTTGGGGTGGGCAGTGATGAGAAAGGCTGGCAGCTAGCCCCTCCCAGGAAGGCAACTGGATTTCCATTGAAGCTGCACCCTACCTCACCCCATACACAAAAACTTAACTCAAAATGGATCACAGACCTAAATGTAAGAACTAAAAGTAAAAAGGTTTTCCAAAAAAACATAACAATAAACCTCTGCGATCTTGGGTTAGGCAACACCTACTTAAACATGACACCAAAAGCACAAGCAAAGAAAAAGATAAGCTGGATTTCATAAAAATTAAGACATCTTGCACAGCGAAAAAGAAATGTGATGGTGAATATATGTATGTTCATGTATAACTGAAAAATTGTGCTCTACACTGGAAGTTGACACAACATTGTAAACTGACTATAACTCAATAAAAATATGTTAAAAAAAGACATTTTGCTTCAAAGGACACCAATGAGAAGTGAAAAGACAATCTACAAGATGAGATAAAATAGTTGTAAAACAGTGACAGGTGACTCTGATTATTCAAGGTGGTTGTGGTCTGCAAAGTCACCACAAACACACAATTAGTGAGTACTGAACTGTTGCTCTTAAAAGGAACACAACGGTTAGGTTCCTGTGAGCCTCTGGCCATAACACTTTCTTTGACGAATCATTGCATCGCCTTATTTTATGTATATTTCTGTATATATGTTGTTGATTCATTACCATTCATCTCACAGCCAACAACACTGTAACTCATGCCTGAACAAAGCTTACCTAACACACATACTTTCTCTGTAGGGCACACCACAGCCTTCTTGATTTAAGAAACACTGAATGGCCCTTCAGCACTACACTTGGGGCCCATTTTAAACAGCAGAATTACCAACAGAAAGCACAAAAATGTGAGAAATGGGGCACTCGAAATTAGTTTACACTCTGACAGCTGAAGCAAGAAGGCAGAGCAGTACCTCATTCTACCTCAGCTGAAAATGTGAGTGTCAGAGGACAGAATCTTCACTTCTCTGAGCCTTTTTGTGAGTGACCACAGAAGTGTCTTGAGTATCGGTTTTGGGGGTTGCAGATAAATTTTAGTGAGTAGACAAATGTGCAAATACATAGTCTGTGAATAATGAAGACCTATTGTATGATAAGAGACTTTTATCTAGACTCTCAGAATTCAATTTTTAAAAGACACATAAAAGACATATAACTCATTTTTCAAACAGGCGAAAAAAAAAAAGAGACATTTCTCCAAAGCAGACAGATATACAGAGGGTCAGTAAGCACATGAAAAGATGCTCAGCATCATTAGCCATTAGCAAAATGTGACTCAAACCACAAAATACTACTTGACACACACTAGGATGGGTATGCTAAAAAAGACGGAAAATAATAAATGT